AAGCTGCTCAGGGGCAACACACTTAGTGATTAAAATGCTGTTCTCCAGAAGCAGTAATTAAATGTTTAAACTGAATTCTCCAGGTTTTGGCTGGCTGCAATTTTTTTTAAAACCATCCTGTATTAAGTGTTTTAAATAAATAGCACCCAGCCAAAACCTTGAAAAACTCAGTAATACAGTGAAAAGCATGCACCTCAATCAAACGTCTAGCTCTGATTTTATTAATGGCTGTGGTAGACAATTCTGTAGATACTCAGACTCATTCAAACTAGTAACATCCAACATTAAGCATGCACTGAACAATTTTTACTTTCTACCCCAAGGCTTTCTCTGACTCTTCAAGAGCTTACTCAGGCCATAGGCAAGCACAGCCTGAAAGGACAGGGGAATTACCAGCTCTCCTGGCAAGCACCACCCAATAATGAAAGAGGACCAATATATTAAATGCACTAGCTTCCTGATTTCCAGCTGACAAGCCTAAGGGACCCTAAGTTCTTCTTGGGAGATCCTGGCAGAATCAAGCCCCAACCTTGCCCTACATACTTTCTCACTCATGTTTCCTAAGATCTCTCCCTAAATAAATTACCTTCACCTGAGTCCTTATTTGTGGGGCAAACAATAGAATACTACTGATCTGTAAGAAAAAGAAAGTGGTGGGGGATCTTACCTTTTGTGACAGCAAGGATAGATCTGAAGAATATTATGCTAAGTAAAATAACACAGTCAGAGAAATACAAATAGCATGTGATTTCACTTATATATGCAATCTAATGAACAAAATAAACAAACAAAATAGAAACAGGTTCATACATAAAGAAAACAAACTGTCCACTATTAGAAAAGAGAAGATTTGGTGGAGCTGGGTGAAAAAAAAGTGAAGGGATAAAAAAAGAAAGAAAGCAAGAAAGCAAGAAAGCAAGAAAGCAAGCAAGCATGCAAGCAAGCAAGCAAGCAAGCAAGCAAGCAAGCAAGCAAGAAAGAAAGAAAGAAAGAAAGAAAGAAAGAAAGAAAGAAAGAAAGAAAGAAAGGAAGGAAGAAAGAAAGGAAGGAAGGAAGAAGAAAGAAAGAGAGAGAGAGAAAAAGAAAGAAAGAGAGAGAAAAGAAAAAAGAAAAGAAAAGAAAGAATGGAGAAAGGGAGGGAAGGAGGGAGGGAGGGAGAGAGGGAAGGAGGAAAGGAGGCAGGAAGGGAGAACTTATAGACACAGGCAACAATTGGTGATACCAGAAAGAAAGGGGTGGATGAGGTAGAGGAGGAAAAAGGAGGGATACTAATGGTGATGGAGGGACTTGACTTGAGAGTGGTGAATACCAAAATAACTATACGGATGTGTACTATAGAATTGTACACCTGAAAACTATATAAATTTCATAAACAATGTCACCCCAATAAACTCAATAAAAAATTTGTATAATAAATAATCAAGGTCTCTTCATTAAGTGGAAATAGGAATCAGAAACTCATATAAACAGATAACTTTCTGAACAGATTTCTGGATTAAAACATTTTTTTTTTTTTCTGTGTAGAAGAGTCAATTATAGAAATTTCCCCAGTAATTACTTATTTGATCTGAAGAGGGCACTGCTTACATTAGTTGACAGGAGCTGCAAAGGATTCTCAGGTTCAAGAAGACAGCTCTGATATGCACCCCTAAGTTCATAGCAGTGCAATTTACAATAGCTAAGATTTGGAAACAGCCCAAGTGCCTATCAGCAAATCAATGGATAAAAAATGCTGTTGTACATTTACACAATGAAATTCTATGCGGAGGTAAAAAAGAAGGAACTCTTACCATTTGCAACAACATGGATGGACCTGAAGAGCACTATGCTAAGCAAAATAAACCAATCAGATAAAGATAAATATCACACAATCTCACTCATATGTGAAATATAATAAATAAAGTAAAGTGATGAACAAAATAGATCCAGAGACATCGAATCATGGAACAAACTGATGGATGTCAAATGGAAGGATGATGGGGA